AATCGCAAGAAATTTACATTGTTTGCAAAGAATTGATATCTTGTTTACATAAACATACTGCTTGGGCCCCTTCGGGCAAACTAACTAGTTATTGTCCCGCCTTCGGCGCTCCATTACCATGATAGTGATTCATTCAATTATTTATTTCCGAAGTGGCAAAAACCTATTAAAAGTATGTGCCCATCGGAATGTGTATCGAGAGGGAACAAGCCGATATTTTTAACGGAATAATTACTCACATTGTTTCTTGTATGCCTAACTTCAAATCTCTTCATAATCTGCCTTGATGGGTCATATTTGAAAAGGAGGACACGTACTCAGCAATCGAACAGGTACTTCTGCTCAAAGTTCCAATTTTCTTTAGTTCTCTCCTCCATTGAATCAGAAAAGTTTCCGGAAAAAGCATATTTTCCAATTAAATATGCCTCCAGGTAATGCATCGAAAACTTGATATTTTTCCTGAAATTTGTGTCTCATTAAGTACGTCCATGCCAAGTTTCAGCTTTCCATGTCTCTCCGTTTGACTGAATGTATATACAGTAATTGAAAACATCTCCCAACAAAATGGGGTGCCCCTGGGACATGAACCTCCAAAGTCAGATTTTTTCTGAATTCTGCATCCCGAAAGGTACATGTGTGCCAAGTTTCAGATTTCTAAATTCTCTAGAACATGGTTAGAACTAGCATCGGTCAGTCAGTCACAATCGTCTATATATATTAGATGCATAGTTTTCAGAGTACCGGCTTGCGTTCCAGAGCTGCATCGAGACCGATAGCAATAGGAAAAGTTCTCATCAGAGGGATACGAAAAACTCTCCACTTAAGGGAGCCCGTTTGGCCATTCGCCAAAAAAGAATAAATTGGAAGGGTGAGGAATCGCTCGACAAATCTCCCGCAATTGGAACGCGAAAAGATTCATCTTCGGCCCCTACTCTAATCTCAAACTCGGAATAATCCTAGATGATTGGCAAAATGGCATTTGAAACCCACGGGGAGTAATTATGCCTGATAACAGGGGCATACGACACAACACCCCATTTTTCATATCACGAGGGAAATGTACATGGGGATCTGAAGAAAAAAATTACAAGGAAAGATTTTTTAATTTCACCACTGAGAATCTTACCAGGTAAAAACAGTTCTGTAATGCAGTGAGAATTGGGAGCCAAGAATACTAAATAAATTTCAGTGACTTCTCCAAGTTTTCGCCACTTACAGCCACACAACATAGTAACTTCAAGTGAAATCTTCTCCAAGGATATATAACGACATGATGCTCAGGGCCTGGGATGAAGGGTGTGAATATTTGAAAGTCATGCTCAAGGAGTGAACCCTCCATGACGCCGCTCCCCTTCCAAGTTCCACAGATGCGTCTCCCTGCACTCGAATAGAATGAGAAACCTCCACGGGCCAATTCATCCTGTCAAGTCTGTCGACAACACTGGAGATGAAATGAATTCCGCTCTCACTTCTATTCCGTCCATTTTCCCAGTCGTGGATCTGTGTCATCGTTACGAGAGTCCCTATTGCAATGCTATTAAATTGAAGTTTCCTTGCCCAAGATATTTTGCTCATTTGTGAACTGATCACAATCATTCGGCAAATTTTAAAACAACTGTTACTAACAAAAAAGGACGCGTTCCTTCCCATTTGAGTCTGTTTGAATTTTTGGCTTTGGTCGGAGCCTGATTTCAGTATAGAAAATGTTATGCTTATGATACTTACTTCCCATGACGCAGAATACGGCATGTCGGAACTCTTTGCGATAGACTTTCGTGCTCCACGGGTGATACGCACCAGATCGGGGTAACTATAAACTGATCTGTTTTTGTAATGATCATGTCTTCCGTGTCTCGGTTGTTTTTCTTAGAGCACTACGAGATGGATCTGTCGTCAACTTCAACGGCGGAGGGTCATTCATGTTATAATGGGGTGATTAATGGAATGCCGATTGTCTCCGTCAAACCGATCCCCATAGAAGACCATTGTAAGATTAGATTCGTTGAATTTTAATAGAACTGGTGCATGTCAACACGCGTTTAATTTCTCTCATCGATATGCAATATTCTTCGTCTGCATACGGCCGACGGCCCTTTCCTTCCGGTGGTTCAACAATGCTGGTTCAATTCACTGCTGACTTTAAGCACAGGAATGAATATCTCCCTTTGCTTGCTCGAGGGGAGTAGTTCGTGTCGCGGCAGAAGCCATCGAAGACGAGGAATGGAACATTCAGAATACACTGGGAAAATTCCCTTTTTTATTTCAATAGATGGTAACCGGGGTACAGGATGAGAATCTCCGACCCAAAAAAACTCCTATACTTAAAGCAAGCCGAGTTCATTCCAGGCAACTCTCCTTGCATTCGTGAAACGGTGTCGTGAACGTGGCTCTCCAGTGAATTCCCCTATCGACGAGGCAACGACGCCCGCACTCTTCCAAATTCCGCATGTCATCATCTTCCACATGCCCATCTGACACGTCCAAGTAAGAAAAGTTCCGGAAAAGATTCCTGCCGTTCCCGCGTCCCACTGCTCCCAACTGAAACGCGGATGTCTGAATGTCCGATCATTTAATCCTCTGGGTAAGGAAACGTATCGAATCGTTCCTGAATCTTACAAAAATGAAATTTACCGAATTTGTGCAACGGCATCTAATGTACATTGGAACATGATATCGACACCGAAAAAAAAATCATGTCCTCTCATTATGTAACGGTCCCTTCAGCCCTTAAAAACCCACCTTCTCCAACTATAGAAAAATGAGAAGTTATGGTTATTATTGAGAAAAAAAGAAATTTAAATCAAGTTGATTTATTCCGTACGTGTCCAGGTTAAACTTCGTTCCTTAACATGAGAAATTAGAGATTAAATTAGCTAGAGTAGTGCCTCTTTCGGTGATGCCTATCATCAATATCATCCCCGATGCCAACAAATGGTCGAAAATCAAATTCCAGAAAACATGATTCGTCGAGCATGCAAGATGCGTGACGTCGAAAAGGGGAAACTTGCCACAGTCGAGAATATAATCTTTCGTTTGAAGAAAGCGGAGTGGATCCTTCAGAGACAGGAAGTGGAGTGGTTCGAATTGCAATGGGGTCTCCAATTTCTATCCAGTCTGCAGGAGAATGACCCCACACCAGATTCGTACCTGCCGCATCTCCAGACTCACGTGCATGAGTCACGTCTGGATGAGTCAGTCGCGTCTTCAGAAACGAGAGGAACACATTGCAACGAGAGGGGGAACGTGTGACACAAAAGTGACAGACGGTTCAAGTTCCTACGGACACTTGGAGCGACACAGAAGACAGATGTAGGCTATTCAATTCTGTTTGCTAGATGGTCTTGTTTTTGTCTGGCAAGTGCCCTCTCCCGTTTTTTTCCTCCTTTCAGACATGTTAGGGATACGGATGGAGGCGTGCTGCAGGGAGATACCGAACTGAGCTCATAGATTTTGATGGATTAAATGGCAGGACCTCGTTTCCGATAATCCGTGGTGGCTTGAATGTGGAAATCTTATCGCCTCCGCTCCGGAGCGGGCTCTGACCTGGAATTTCAAGTCGGGAATTTTCGATGGAAACACGGGGAGGAGAATCGATCGCAATGCCGCTGATCGACTGGTGCAGATTACTCCGTCCCAAGATTTATTCCCCCCCCCCCCATCCATCGGTCGATTCATTTATATCCGTACATGGAAAAAACAGCAATTGATGGAATGTCCAGCCCTCCAGACGACCCCTGATGCCGGATAGCGGTCATCTTGAGAGAGAGAGAAAAATGTTTCCCTTAAAAAAAATGATTCCAGCTTCTGATACTTATCCGTCCACGAGGTAACTTAATGGAGAACGAGTTTTTTTTCCGCACTTTAATCCTTCGTGCAGGATGAATTTAACTTTTTTTTTCGAAGCATTCCACTCCATCGCCATAACCGGCTTGCGTTCCATAGCTGCAACGAGACCGATCGCAATGGGAAAAGTTCTCATCAGAGGGATACGAAAAAACTCTCCACTTGCCAAACGGAGCCCGTTTGGCTATTTTCCGAAAAAGGTCAAATTGGAAGAGTGAGAAATCGCTCGACAAATCTCCTAACTGGCAATCAGGAGGCCCAGAATCATGTCCCGGTCGTTCCCTGGTTATGTTCCACAGATGCGTCTCCTTGCCCCCAAATCCAATGAGAAACCTCCACGGGCCAAGTCATCTTGTCTAGTCTGTCGACAACACTGGAGATGGAGTGAATTCCGCATTCCCTTCCATTCCGTCCAGTTTTCCAATCGTGGATCCGCGTCATCCTTAGGAGGATCTCTAATGTTATGAAATGAAATTGGAGTTTCCTTGCGGAGGAGCTCCCTCTTTAGCTCAATTTGTGAATTGATCACAATCATTTGGCAATCTTTAAAACAACGTTACTAACAAAAAGGAAAAGTTTCTCATTTAAGTCAGAGTGAATTTTGGCCTGGGTAGGAGCTAGATTTCAGTATAGAAAATTGTTTTGCTTTCGATATTTATTTTCCATGACGCAGAGTACGGCATGTCGGAACTCTTTCCGGTAGACTTTCGTGATCCTCGGATGATATGTACCAGATCGGTCCAACTATAAAGTGATCTGTTTTTGTAATGAGCATTCATTGGAATACGATTGTTTTCGTCAAACCGATCCCCATTGAATACCATTGTAAGATTAGATTCGTTGAATTTTAATAGAACAAGTGCATGTCAACACGCGTTTAATTTCTCTCATCGATATGCAATATTCTTCGTCTGCATACGGCCGACAGCCCTTTCCTTCCGGTGGTTCAACAATGAAAGTTTGATTCACTGCTGACTTTACGCACAGGAAGGAATATATCTGGCTTTCCTTGCTCGAGAGGAGTGGCTCGTGTCGTGGCAGAAACCATGGAAGGGAATGGAACATTCAGAATACACTGGGAGAATTCGCTTTTTTATTTCTATATATGGTAACCGGGATACGAGATGAGAATCTCCGACCCAAAAAAACTCATATACTTAAAGCAAGCCGAGTTCATTCAGGCAACTCTCCTTGCATTCGTGAAACGGTGTCGTGAACGTGGCTCTCCAGCGGATTCCCGCATCGGAGAGGCAGCGACCCATGCAGTCTTGCAAGTCCCGCATGTCATCTTCTTCCCCATGCTCATCCGACTTGTCCACGTGCTGGTGAGGATCCGAAGAAGATTCCTTCCCTTCCCGCGATCCTCTGTTCTCAACCTAAACACATATGTCGCTAAGTCCGATCACTTATTCCTCTTGGTGAGGAAATGAAACTGATCGTTCCTGAATCTTACAAAAGGGAAATTTTCAGGCTCTGTCTAGCAACATCTAATGTACAATGCAGACACTATGACATAGACACCTCGACAACAATGCAAAAAAACTTCCCAATTCCTGTCTCCACTCTTTCTTCAATAATCCTTGATGTGCTTGAATAGAGCGTCTTTCGGTGATAACTATCAGATTTGTTGAAACATTTCTCTTTAAAAAAATGTGAATTTTTACCTTGGAATTCTATTTTATTGTTTATTTGAACTTGTTTCGGTACGGAAACATATAACCCGGTAAAGAGTACCGCTTATTACTGCATCTCTCTCCTGAGTATTTGATTAGACGTTAGAGATCAAAGCAAGGCATACTCACCGCGACAGCGACGGTGTCCTTCAACCTCACCATTACCATCATTCCAAAAGCCAACAACTGCATCAAACGTAAAAATCGAGAGAAGATGATTTGTCGAGGCTTCTGTATACGTAACTCAGAAATGGGAACTCACCACCGTCGAGAATCTCATTTTTCGTTTGAAGAAAGCGGAGTGGATCCTTCAGAGACTGGAAGATGAGTGGTTGGAATCGCAAAGGGACCGCCGATTTATATCCAGTCTGCAGGGGAATGACCCCACGTCAGTGTCGTACCTGACACGTCTCCAGACTCACAGGATGAGTCAGTCGCGTATTCAGAAACGAGAGGAACGTACACCTGCGACATGGTGAACGAGAGACATGAAAGCTCCAGACACTTGGGACGACAGATGTAGGCTATTCAATTCTGCTTGCTAGATGGACTTGTTTGTCTGGCAGGTGTCTTCCTCTCCTGTTTTTTCCTTCATTTTAAACAAGAAGGAGATGCGGATAGAGGCGTGCTGTAGGAAGATACCGAACTGAGCTCATGGATTCCGATGGAATTAACTTCAGAGCCTCATTTTCGAAAATCCGAGGTGGCTTAAAGGTAGAAGTGTTATCGCTCCCAGGCTGCTGCGGGCTCAGCCAAAGATTTCAAGACGGCAATTTCCGATGGGAACTCTGTGACGTGAGTCGATCCCAATACCGCCGATCGATTGGTAAATTTCATCCGGATCGCAAGATTACTTTTTTCTCGGCTATCTTTAGGAGGATTTGCAAATTCCGTCTTCTATGGAAGACGGGATGGAAGCGGCGTCGTCGGAAGCAGATTCCGTCTTCCGAAAGATCTGGGGCGGGAAGGATTCAGGTGAGTCCACTGACGCGGGTGAAACCGCAATTTGAGACAACAGCAAGCAAGTAGAAAGTCATTCATCGAAATGCAAGGAAAACTCGACCTAAGTAAATAGAGCTCAAAAAAGGAAACTGGAAAAGGTACTGCAGGTCAGATCTTGTTACAACGGATTCCTTCATGACGAAAATTTCACTATACCGTAAATATTTCCGAGCCCCGGCCGATTGTCCAAAATACTTTTTGTCGATTTTGTTACGATGAAATTCGGTACTACGAATAATTCAGTACAACGAACGCTTTTTTCAGCCTTTGTTCGTATGATCGTCTCTCGTCATGACGAAAAAATATCTAACTCCTGATCGTTTACGTAGAGACGATCGTCTGTGTTTCGCGACGACCCCCTCCTTCCCTTTGGACTTCGAGAGAGTCGGAAATCTCTGTTTCCCACGTTGCGGCGTAAAAAGTTTTAGCGGAAGGAAGAACGTTCGCTGGCTGGCCGTGGCCGAAGCCTCACAACTTACAGCACTGTTCACCTGTGCGCCCCATCCCGGCAGACGTGGCTGACGAGGGAAACGAGAAACGCCGGCTGTTTCCGCGGCAAGACAAAAATGGCAGGAGTGGCAGCTGGAGAACTCGTCAAAAAATTGAAAAATTGAGACGTGGCAAAGGAATTCGGCGTCACTCCTTTTACGTCATCCACGTTCCTGAAGGATCCTGCCAAAATTGAAGAAAAGGTGAGGAAAGAGGCTCTGGGACCGAAACAAAAGAGAATGCGTGGTGCGTTCTACGATGACATCGACAAGGCAATGCAACTTTTATCCGTTCCAAAATTTCAGATTTTCTCAAAAGAAAATGAAGTGGAAAATTAGAGCATCTGTGGTCTGTACGTTGAGAGTCATAGCTAATTTGAATAGAGAATGATCCTTTTGGACTAAATTTCGAGCAATATTCGATACGACGAAATTTCAACACAACGAAATAATCTGGACACTCCCTTCAAGTTCGTTGTAACGAGATTTCACCTGTAATACTTATGACTACGAGGGGAATCGAAAATTAACGGCCGATAATTTTTCTCTCACATTGTTTTCCATCCGCGACCTAATGCTTTACAGGGGAAGTGGTCCCGTTTCTCATTCATGCTAACATGAATTTATTTTAACATTTTCCACGAGAGATGAGAAAATGGTCGAGTACGATCGGAGACATTCCAGACTCCAATTCATCCTCTCCAGTCTGTCGACCACGGCGACGAGAGCGTCAATTCCACACTCTGTTCCTTTCTGTCCGGTTTTCTAATCTTGCATCTGCGTTATTTTTACTGGTATCCCTCATCTATTACCATAGAATTTGAATTTCCTTGAACGGGGACTGCCTCTTTTCTCAATTTATGAACCGATCACGATCGCTTGGTCACAACGGAGCGGTTAATAACCGAGTGGCCACGTTCCAGTCCTAGGTATGTTTTGCTGTTTTGGCGTGGATAGCCTGGGACACGGAACACGACAAGTAAATGATAAGGGTTCCATTTTCTTTTCCGTGCTTTGGAGTACGACGAATTAACATCTTAAACGGCAGAGTTTCGTGCTTCTTGTGTCATCTATCGGTATTAACTAATAAACTTCGTCTGCATACCGCCGGCGTTACCCCACTAAGTCAAGTTTAACTATGTTAATTTCATCGAGGAATAAAGTCAATCTTTGAATTCACGAACGAGAAGGAAACGCAAGATAGGACTTCTCAGAAGAGTGCGACTTATGTCGTGACAGAAGCCGTTGGAGGCAATGAATAGAACATTCAGGAGAAGAGGATACATCTTTTTATTCTCATCAATGAGAACCGAGGGACGAGATGAGAATCGTCGACCCTAGAATTCTCAGAGTTAACGCGGGTAAAATTCATTTCAGCAACAATTCAAGCGGTTTTTAGGGTCTGAATTAGTTTCAGCTGTGACGTCCTCTGGCAAATACTGGTTTTCCGTTCCGGAAGGGGGAGTCACTGAAGCAAATCTCAATCATTTTCGTAACGTTCCTCCTGCACATCCGACTCGTCACCGTCACCATCCCAATGGTGACCATGCCGTTCGCGTTCATCCCAATGATGATGATCCTTCTGCCCTTCGGTCCTATTCCCGTGAGGGTGAAGATCCTGTCCAGATTCGAGTGGTTCCCGCTTGTCGCTCTTCCCCAGCTGAACACAATTGTCCGAAAGTTCCATCACTAAAATGCCCACGAGAAACAGACCGAAGTGTTCGTGAATCTTACAACAGTGTTCAAAATATATATAAATTGCTCATGGATACCTAATTTACGATGAAAACATCATATCAACAATTCCACAAAAGCCAATAGAAAATGCACATTCCAAATCCTGTCCATTCTTTCTGTCAGAATCCGCCACGTATCACTTGAATAAATGAAACATGAGAATCTTTGCTTAATTAAGAATAAAATGAGTATAATAACTTAAACCTGATACTCCGGTGGAAATGTTGTCTAGGCCGACCTTCTTTTCATATAGGAATAAAAATGATTGCTTTGTTACAACAGTTCCTTTTCTTGATGCACTCTGTAAAATTTATTTCCTTCAGAAGACATGTTACTTTCTTCAACTGCTATTCCATTATTTTATTGCCTACATGAACCTGCTTCTGTACGAAAAAAGGCATGCGGTCGGGGGTTCTATTGGGTTGTAACATATATTCCCGCCGTTTTTATATTTTCTTTGTTTTCACTCCATATTTTTGAACTTTGGCAAAGTGGATATAGTCATTCGAAAGAGCGTTCTTTCCTCTACAAACTTATTGCCACCATTTTTCCGAATAACTTAATTTTACTTAACTTTCAGGAATTTGAAATGGAAATACCAGGCGG